TATATCCTCCTGAGACCCAGCTATGGAGTTTTTGTCTCTGTAGTGGACATTATATTTTAGTGAATTTCTCTGAGACCTCACATGTCACAGTTTTAAGTCTGGATGTCCTGTACAGAGCACATTCAGGGCTTTTCAGAGATACCAAATGTTTGGACGTTTCTCCATGGCCACTCCCTCTGCTTGGTCTTTAAAAATGGCTGACATTAATTTAGTGATAAAATTGTACATCCTTATGGAAATATGATCATATTTTGTAATTATTTAAATCTGATTAATTTTCAAATTGTTTGTCATAAATCAACATCTCAGGAAAATGTTATAGGATTTCAAACCAAAATATGACTTCCTGTTATGAAATAAGGATATTGATTTCATACATGTCTACTGTAGAGGACACCAGGACTAAAAGCATGTTTATTATGCCTGTTGGGAGACACAACAAATGAATAGGAAAATAAATTATATATATCAATATTCTTATGAAATATTAGATATTATTATGAAAATCTGGCCAATTATTAATCCCATTATTACACTTCTTTTTTCAACATGCTGTCCCAACAGCACATTCATATGCAAATTAGGTACAGTGTATAGATAACACTGTGTTTAATGGGAAAACCAGTTTATGGACATTTTACACACATATTGCATAAAGTAAAATGGTACAGTATATCAAATAATTTTGTTATATCTTTTATAACATAGTTGAGAATCATCCTTATACAAAGTTTGGTATAAAAAAAATCCTGAAACCTAAAAATTGATTGGTGATTTTTTTTAAAAATCCCATTGTTTTTGCCTTTTCATGTCTATTCATGTCATTTTAATTTTTAGGAAAACTGTCCTCTACAGAAGACGTAGTATAACATGAATAAAATATAATTTTTCAAAAATGTTATTTTTCCATTTTTTTCTTATGCTCTAAACAATGTAAGCTTTTTTTCTGGTTCTCAGGAGGACATACATACATCTATATAATATAAAGTATATTATATACAAAACATAATAAAACATAAAAATGTAATACTAAATAAAATTTTTAATGAAAAATCTCTCTCTCTCTCTATGTATA